GACGGCGCGCGTGTGGACGGCGTGCTGCCGGACTGCTTGGAGGGGGACAGGGTGCATCCCACGGCGCGCGTGCGCATCGGCCGCGTCGTCGACCCGGACGCGTGGAAGGAGAGCCTGTGCGAGGCCGCGTGGACTGCGGCGAGGCTTGTCTGGCTCGTCGTGGTCAGGATGCCCGTGTTTGTGCTGCTGAGCCCCTTCGTCTCGGGGTCCGCCGCCTGGGACGTGTGCTTCGTTTCCGGCTGGCTTGGAGACTTGATTTGAGCGTGTGAAGAAAACAAGAGGCCGTGGGCTAGGCGTTGACGAGACTAAACGAGAGGACCCAGGATGAACAGCCTGATGAGAAGCGCAGAATAAACAAGTTTCTCGGACACAAGGGGGCTGGAATGGTTGGTTGATGGGAAGCTCAACAGAATCGAGAAACCGCACAGAACGATGGCACGAAGACGAGCGTGTGAAATTCAGTAGTAGAAGTGGTGGTAGTACACGTAGAGTGCGAGCATCGGATCCGCAGACTCCGCCTGGAACCTACAATCTGCTCTTCGTCGCGTCGAGATACGTGCTCCCTAACTTCAACATGTCCACAGCCTCAGCTACCATCTCGTCAACAATCTCTCCCGCCGGCTGTATCCTCGTGATCAAACCAGCAACCTGGCCCATGAGATGCGGCGGATCAATGTCGTTCCCCTCCTCGAGGTCGTACTCGATGGGCACCGTCCCACTGTCGCACAACTCCTTGACCCTTTCGGGTTGCGCGTGCCACCCGCGAATGTAGTCATTCGTCTTCATCCTCAGCGGCCGCCCAGACAATACAAGTGTCCTCTCTGTGCCATCGAACCCACACGACACAACCTCGCGCTTGTGCTCCTCGCTGCACCCCGCCTCGACAGAAGCGACGAAGCGTGTGCCAACCCATACGCCAGCGGCGCCCTGCATGAGAGAACTCGCGAGGGAGCGCCCGCCGTAGATGCCGCCCGCGGCAACAACGAGCGCCGGTAGCCCGCCGAGCAACTTGGGACGGTACTTGCGCGCCACGTCGACGACGGCAGGGATGAGCACCGAGTTGGCAACATCACCCGTGTGGCCGCCGCCCTCGCCACCCTGCGCGCAGATGAGGTCGACGCCGAGGTCGAGCGCCTTGACGGCATGCTTCGGGTGCCCGACCATGTTCATGATCAGGATACCGGCATCGTGCAGCCGGTCGATAACGTGCTTGGGCGGCACGCCGACAGCACTGACAAAGAGCTTGGCGCCGGACTCGATGGTGATGTCGATGAGCTCGTCGAGCTTACCGCCGGTGTAGTCGTGATTCGTCTTGCGAGCGTTGCCGCCAATCTGAGGTAGAGCGAGGTCGACACCGAAGGGGAGGGAGGGGTCAGTGAGATGAGCCTTGAGTTCGGCCACAATCTCGCGAAGCTGGTCGGGTGTGTACATGAAGCCGCCGATGACACCGAGGCCGCCGGCATTGGACACGGCAGCGGCAAGGCGGCCGCCTGACGTGCGAGCCATGCCGGCGAGAAGTATGGGGTGCGAGACGCCCAGGAGGGTCGTCAAGGGTGTTGTGATGGGTGCCATGGTGATAATACCTCGATGCGGTGAGAGGCAGTGTACAAGTCGTGACGGCGTGTCGATGATGAGGTCAGGTTTGGCGGACCAAACAATGTATGCAAGTCGCGGGGAAGAGCCGTCTGAAGAGTAGAAGCCAGCATGCACATATGTATGTGGTTGAACTCTAGTGGCGATCTGGGGTCGAGCTTTACAGGGGGCACATCTCCAACAGCTGATGATGCGGGGGAGTCCTCTGGGGGCGCGCGACCTCGGCATTTCCGTGTGCGGACACCAGCTCGCCGTCTTGGCCACCCAAGCTCCCTAGTTTCCCCAGGTTGAACCCTAGATCGGTGCTCGCCGTCGGAGTCGGCGTCATAGCTTGCAGACGCTCCGTCGGCACGCTCCCGAGCGAACGGCGAGATGGTGAGATGGCGCGTTGGCCAGTGGTGTTTTCTTGTTGATGGTCATTTATCCGCGAACCATCTCTGTTCTTGCCATCATGCTGTGAGATGTGGAGATTCGTCAAGAAAACGCGTTTTATCGCCAAAATAAAGTTTGGTAGATCAAAATCGTTGGCCCGATTGCCCTACAATGTATTAATTCGAACAAGCCGTGGTATCGTAACTGACGTGACGCTCTTGGTTCATGGCTTCGTCTCTCGTCCTTCGTTTACGATGGCGTGCTGTGCATCGCCAGATCTCCTAGATGAATTGACTATCCCTCGACGGACCTTCATCACCTGAACCGCGGCAGCCGAGCAGGAACAAATTCTTCGCCTCCCAGCTGGCCTCCGTCTGTGATGGTCAGGAAGCCTCCAGGTAGCCGACCGCCCGACAACGAACCGTCGTCGTCTCCCGAGAAAGTTGGCTGTTCGCCACCCTTGGACGCTGTCGGCTCTGGTACATCCGCTTCGTCGCTCGCTGTAGGCTTGTCCTCTTTGACGGCCGCATTTGCTTCGCTCACGCCCCGCAGACCCTTCTCTATTGCAAGCGCAAGGGCTCTCCTGCGCTTCGCCTCCACCTCGGCATCCTCCTCCTCGCGCATCTGATCCTCTTCTCGTTGTAAATCCTCCATCGACTGCACGCGGTTTAACTCCGAGGTCACTGGTGTACTCCCCGAGCTGTGTCGCGGTCCAGGCGTACTTGCTCGCGTGCGAATCGAGTCAATGGTTGCGCGAGACACGGTTCGTGACATGCCGCTGACGGGCCTCTTGCCTTTGCTGCTCCGTCTCGTCTTGCCGCTACTGCGATCATCGCCTGTATTGACGCGGGATAGGACCATTGAAAACTCGTCGTCCAACGGCACAGCGTCCTCCTCGCCTTCGCCATCGCTCGGGAACAGGTCTCCCCTTGAACGGTACGAGTCTGATGTGTCGCCCGACCCCGTCGTTCCGCTGCGTTTCCTACCGGCAGCGACAGTCCGTTCAGGCTGATATGCCTGCCCGTCATATTCTGACCCTTCACTGCCCTCGTCCAGCAATGGCTCAGCCTCGCCCATGCCCAACACTTCGTGCTGCCCGGGATGATCTTGCAGATCCGCCGCGCTGGGCTTGTATCGTAACGTCTTGCCCATCTTCCACGGCAGCTTGCTCAGGAAGCCTATCGGCTGTGTGCTCGGTATAATGGTCGGATCCAGCTCGCCGCTCGCCTTGCGCCGCCCAGCACCACGTGTGCCGTAGCTCATGCCCCTCTTCCGCTTCGGCTGCTCCTGCTGCACCCCTTCGCCGTCGGCACCGCCGTGCCGTCCTCTGGGCCCCTGTGCCCGCCAGCAGCCGATCCCAGTCGGCGATGCTCCAGCCTCCGTCACCGGCGCCAGCGCCTCCCAGCGCGGTAGAGTCATCGCCACTGTTGCCCAGCAGCCCGTCGTCGGCGTACCAGTCGTCGTAAAAGTCAAAACTGTATTCGGCGGCGCGGCGGTCAGCCTCGCGACGACGGCGAGCGCGCTCCTCAAGGTCACCGAAGCAAGGGGCGGCGCAGGCGTCGATGGCGTTGCCGAGGGAGGCGAGGCACGGGTTGAGGTAGTGGTGCTGGAAGGACCAGATGCCAGCAGCTGCGTTCTCGGTGACCTCGCCTGTCGTGTGGGAGATTTGGTTCCAGCGCTGGCGCAATCGGGGGGTCTTCGAGAAAGTCCATTGTGGCGGTCACCCGCGGGGAGGATGATTGTTATGTGTAGAGGGGATGGTAGATCGAGAGCGTGTGAAGGGAGGGTGGCAGTTGAATGACGTCGCTAGCTCCCTTCAGGTAACCTATTCGCATCGGGCAGCCGTCGCAGTCCCAAGCCGAGTTGCTCAAAAATCGTGACGAGGCGAGGAGGGTGCGAGGCCGTGGCCTATGCCGGCTCAATGGCCATGCGCGGAGTGTGATACGGGATCGGATGGACGAGACATTGGCTTGGGGAGGAATTGGAGAGTTGATGCTAACGGGAGCCTGGTCTTGTCGTGTATGCGTCTGAGACGGAACCTGAGAAGATGATTCCAGGCAAGGTCAAGCGGCAAGCCAAGGTAAGAGCACTCGGCGGGTGGTTGGCGTTTAGGCGGGCGGGGCCTTCCCCCCCCAACATTCCCCAGCCGCCTGCCGCCCGTTCCACCATCAAAGTGGAAAGAGCTCTCGACCCTGCAGCTGCCGTCCATAGTACAGATGCAGAGATGCTCTTCCCCCACCTCTCGATCCAACGTCGCAGCGCCATTCGTTGGTTGGAACACTGCGATTCTCAGTCACTTTGACGCTATCCGAGTCACCACCATGATCCGTGCTTGACTCTACAAACCTAGAGTGTCGAACTTAATTCTACTTGTTCGTCGTGCTGCCGTCAGCGCTGACTGCAGATTCCTCACGATCACGCATCAGAAGCAATACTGTAGACATTCCCGCTAGCACTACACTATCGCTGTTCAGAGCAGAGAGATCTTAAACAACACAGGGACAGCCCGGTATCCAGGCCGCACTTTTCCTCGCCCGAGATCACGCCTCAGCCTGCGCGGCGCGTGTGCCACGAGAAGCGAAAGCGGCAGTAAGACCTAGCCCGAGATGACAAGCCGGCCTGACCACGACCGGGGCCGCCGAAAATGGCTGCAGCAAAAAGGTGTGCTACAGCGCCCATCGCGTGAACCGCGTGAGGCGGGATAGCAGCCGTGTTCGCCGCCTCTCCGGAGAGTCGTGGTCCTCAAGCGTGCCTGTGACGCCGAAGCCGACGCCGTTGAACTGATAGGAGCCTGGCATCGTTCTGCTTGTGCTTGGGTGCTGGGTACTATTGGCCACCTCGCGATCCCCGACCGCCATTTCTGGCATCGAGTGAGACCGGCTGCTCGCGTCAAGGCCCACAACGGCCCGACGTATCGTCCCGTGGCACATCCAACTTACTCTCGCAAGTGTCGACAAGCTCGGCGGGCGATACTGGTGCCGTCTGGATGCTAGCCCCTGAAGCGCGGCGTGCAGACTCCTCCTAGTGTCCGTTTGTCGCGGCTTGAGGGGCCGATACGGGCGGGCGTTCAGGGCCATAGGGCCGTGGTGGCATATCATCGGCGGCCTGCGGCTCTTCCTCCGTGTCGTCGTCGAATTCTTCGCTTTGCTCGTCGTCGTCGCCCTCGTCAGAGTAGTCGCTTCCGTCCCCATCCACGTGCCCGTTGCTATCCGAGTAGCAGCTCTCCAGCGTGGCCGCCATGCCCGGAGGCACTTTGCGGCCTTGCTGCTGCATCTGCTCAATGATGCTGATAAGTTTGCCCGTCTTCTTGGTTGCTTCGGCCGTCTTGGTCCGCATGGCCTCGCGCTCCTCCGCCATGGAGATGATGTTGGCATTCGTCGCCTCGTGTTTGCGCTTCATCGTCTCGTTCTCCTTCTCCAGCCGCTTCGTCTTCTTGGACATCTCCTCCATTTCCTTCCGAAACGTGAGAAATAGATCGTTACTGTTATTGAGTGTGTCCTCAACCTTGGCCGATTAGCCTGGGGGGATCTGGGCCGAGGGACTCGCAAACCCTCCACACATACCTGCTTAAACTTGTCCACGTAGACGTTGAGTTGATTCCTCAGTTCCGTCTCCGTCTTGGTGAAGGTCCGGACCTGCTCCTGGAGTTGGCGCGCCTTGGCAGCTTCGGCCTCCGCGTTTTTCTTCTCGCGCTCGTACCGTGCCATGTGGTATTGCACCTCAAGCTCTTTGGTGCGCATCTGCGAGTGGAAATGCAGCTCCCGGAGCTCGTACTGCTCAATAAAGGACTTGAAACGGTTCCTGAACAGCGTCTCGACGCCTATCTCTACAACCTGCTTGCGGGGATGGTCCTTTTCTTCCTGTATGCCCTCGAGTTTGGATAGTAATATCGAATACTTTTCATCGTAGGATGCGCTATTGTGCTTGAGGTTGTCCTGGAAGGTTTTGTTGTCGTTCTGCGTTTGTTAGTCCCTGCGTAGTTCGTGACCATCATCCTGAATCCCTGCAGGCTGCGCACCTTGTACTTGTTGTTGTCCTTCTGCAGCTCACGACACAACTTCTCCAGCTTGTCCTTGAGGCCAACCGTCTTGCTGAGCTCGGTGCGGTTCGCATCCTTCTCCTTTTGAAGGGCGTCGCCCCGTTTCTTGTTCTTCTGATTCTCCCGCTCCATGCGTCGCATATCGGCCAGGAGTTCGCTGGATTTGCGCGTGAGGTGCTCAATTTTGGCCATGTCGGTCATCTTAGATACCTGCTGCATCATCTCCCGGCTTGCCTTCTTGACCTCGCGCTCTATGACGGCACCGTCAGCCACATGAGTCCGCCCCGGCGTCCGACAGCGCCCACCAGCCAAGATGCCGGCTGCGTTCCCAAAAAAAAAAAAAGAGGACACGGGATGCAACTCACCAATCTCGGCCTCCTGATCCTTTTCACCAGCAGCATCCTGCTCCAGCTGCGCAATGCGATGCTTGAGCAGCTTCGACGCGTTCATGTCTACGGGTTTCTTGGCCTTTGTCTTCCTCGCGTAGCCGGCGACACCTGGCGGGATAGCTCCGTCTTGCCCGTTTGGCAAAGTCGTATCAGGCGAGCTAGCTGGCATCGCTGAGGGGGCGAGAGCGTGTGTGTGTGATCGAGCGACGGACGTCGTGGTCACGAGGGCGGGTCCTGCATGCGTCCAGCGACGAGGGTGGGGAGGCTGAATTGTCAGCAGTGCAGACGTCGTGCGGATCTGGCCGTTCGGTTTCGTTCGCAAGAGCGAGTGGAATTGCGAACGATGGTCGGGGAGAGTCCCAGCGGTGGGTTTTTTTGAGGCTGTCGTCGTCCGGATAGGCCTGAGTCAGGCTGGGGGTGCGTTGTCGACTAGGGGAAGGGCATTCGCATTAGAAATGGAATGCAATGCAAAAGCAACGCCCACACGGGAGTGGATGTATGCTGCTTCGGGAGGGGGGGATGGGTTATTACGTTGGGCTCTGTTCCAAGGTGTCCTTATTGATTCCTTCAAGAATTATGTTCCGGTCTAGGGGTCCCGCATGTCTTTGGTCCCGTCCTGTCGCGATCTGGGTGAGGGCCAACACGAAGGAAGAGGAGATTGACGATGAATGGCTGCGGATGGTGAGGACTCGATCCAGAAATTATCGGCTTAAGCAATGATGACCCGGTGGGCTGGGGATTACGGAGGTCGTAGCACGTCTTGTCCTTGGGTCATTGAATCCGAACGAGGCCTCACATTGGCTCCTCGAGCATGGGTCGGGCCAGGCAGATGGGGGAGAGACCCGATAATGCGTTGGCCAGGGACTAGTAGCCCGATAGAAGAACAAGTGGCTTGTGCATTGCATCAAAGCATCCTCGCCCTGGCCTCCCGATGACGAATGAATGCACGGCATTATGTGATGGAGTGGACCCTTTCCGTCCAACTGCCAGAGAAAATTTGGGAATTGCCTCCTACGAGGCTCCACTGTGGCTCAGGACCTGTCGGTTGCCATCGAAGAAACCGCCCGAAGGTCCGAAGTCTGGATGATTCATCCTCGCCCTGTACACTAGAACCCCTGTCACACCATATCGTTCTGTCTGGAGAACCATGCTGCTACTGCGTGTTTGAGATCTCTCCATCCTTCCCACATACGCACCATCACCATGCTGCGCAACACGGCCAAGAACGCGGCTAGCGTTGCTAGCACAGCTCGCGCAGCTGTCACCGAGCTCGCACAGTATCCCAAGGCCGGCGAGAAGCTTCACGGCTTCACCTTGCTGCGGTCCAAGCATGTGCCTGAGCTGAAGCTGACGGCCCTACACCTGCAGCACGACAAGACTGGCGCCGATTACCTCCACATCGCCCGAGACGACAGCAATAATGTCTTCTCCATCGGCTTTAAGACGAACCCGCCGGACGACACTGGTGTGCCTCACATCCTCGAGCACACAACGCTCTGTGGTAGCCAGAAGTACGTTTTTCGAGAGCTTTAGAGAATCCTCCGAGTCTCCCAAGCTGACACTGACTAGATACCCCATCCGCGATCCGTTTTTCAAGATGCTTCCGCGAACTCTTTCCAACTTCATGAACGCCTTTACCGCATCCGATCATACATTCTACCCGTACTCGACGACAAACGCGCAAGACTTCAAGAACCTCATGTCTGTCTACATGGACGCCACGCTCCACCCGCTTCTGAAAAAGACCGACTTTACCCAGGAAGGCTGGAGAATAGGGCCCGAGAATCCGCAGGCGATGCAAACTGCTGAGGCCACGGCCGAGGACAGCAAGCTCGTCTTCAAGGGCGTTGTCTACAACGAGATGAAGGGTCAGATGTCCGATGCCGGGTATCTGTTCTACATCCGTTTCCAGGACAGGATATTCCCCGACATTAACAACTCCGGTGGCGACCCGCAGAAGATCACCGACCTGACGTACGAGCAGCTATCGTCATACCATGCGCAGCACTACCATCCCAGCAACGCCAAGCTCTTCACCTACGGCGACATGCCTCTGGCTGACCATTTGCAGAGGTTGACGCGCGCTTGAAGGTGTTCGACCGGATCGCCGAGGACACCCTTGTTCACAGCCCTATCGATCTCAGCAACGGGCCGCAGGAGCACATTGTCGAGGGACCCCTGGATCCCCTGGTTGCCGCGGACAAGCAGTTCAAGACGTCCGTCTCCTGGGTAATGGGAGAGACCTCGGACGTCATTGAGACGTTCTCGCTGTCGCTTCTCTCAACCTTGCTCATGGACGGCTACGGTTCTCCTCTCTACAAGGGCTTGATCGAATCGGGTCTCGGAACCGACTTTAGCCCCAACGCTGGCTACGATGGTTCTGGCAAGCTGGGCATATACTCTGTTGGTTTGACAGGCGTTCAGGAGGCCGACGTCCCCAAGTTGAAGGCTGAGATTCAGCGTATCCTCAAGGAGGCCCGCCAGAACGGGTTCGACCGCACCAAAATTGACGGCTCTCTGCACCAGCTCGAGTTGGCACTGAAGCACAAGACTGCCAACTTTGGCATGTCTCTGCTCCACAGGCTTAAGCCCAAGTGGTTCACCGGAGTCGATCCCTTCGATTCGCTCGCCTGGAGTGATACCATCTCAGCATTCGAGGCCCGACTGGCTGAAGGCGACTACCTTGAGAGGCTGATCGACAAGTATTTGTTGAATGACAACACCTTGACATTCACCATGAAACCTTCAGCTACTTTCAGCGAAGACCTCGCTGCCGAGGAGAAGACGAGGCTGGCCTCAAAAATTGAGGAAGCGACGAAGAAGGCAGGAGGCGAGTCCGAAGCCCGTAAGCAGTTCGAAGAGCGCGAGCTGGAGCTGCTTGTCGAGCAGGGCAAGTCGAATACTGAGGACCTCTCCTGCCTGCCCACTGTCCACGTCAAGGACATCCCTAGGAGCAAGGAGCCGGTCGTGGTGCGCGATGACAGCACCAATGGCGTCAAGACGCAGTGGCACGAGGCCCCGACCAACGGCCTCACCTACTTCCGCGCCGTCAACACGATCGAAAACCTCCCCGACGAGCTGAGAGAGCTGATTCCTCTGTTCACGGACAGCATCATGCGTTTGGGCACCAAGGACACGTCTATGGAGCAGCTGGAAGACCTGATGAAGCTCAAGACTGGCGGCATGTCGGTCGGCTACCACTCCACCCCTTCGCCTACCGACTTCCAGCACGCTACCGAGGGCTTCATCTTCGCAGGCATGGCACTGGACCGAAATGTCCCTGCCATGTTCGATCTTCTGCGTAAGCTGATCCAGGAAACCGACTTTGACAGCCCCGAGGCCGGCCAGAGGATCAGGCAACTCCTACAAGCTTCGGCAGACGGTGTCGTGAATGACATCGCCTCGTCCGGTCACCAATTCGCGCGTGGGGTTGCCGAATCCGGTCTGACGCGTAACGCTTGGCTCCGGCAGCAGATTGGCGGCCTCTCCCAGGTGAAGCTTGTTACTTCGCTGGCCAACCGGCCCGAGTCGGATGGGCTGGTTGATGTGATCGACAAGCTCAAGAAGATCCAGCAGCTCGCTCTAGCCGGCGGAAACATGCGCACCGCTCTGACCTGCGGCTCTGAGAGCGTGGGAGCCAACACGTCGGCCCTGGGCAAGTTCTTGTCGTCCGTGCCCCAGAGCACCGTGTCCCTGCCGGCAACGCAGCCAACAAGCTTTGCCCGGGATGCCAAATCGTTCTACCCCCTGCCTTACCAGGTGTACTATGGCTCGCTCGCCCTGCCCACCACCTCGTACACGTCGGCCGAGGGTGCGCCGCTGCAGGTGCTGGCACAGCTGCTTACCCACAAGCACCTCCATCACGAGATTCGCGAAAAGGGCGGCGCGTACGGCGGTGGAGCGTACTCGCGCGCCCTCGATGGCCTCTTCGGCTTTTACTCATACCGCGACCCCAACCCGCAAAACACGCTCTCCATTATGCGTGGCGCCGGGCAGTGGGCGGTCGACAAGTCGTGGGCCGACAGGGATCTCGAGGAGGCCAAACTGTCCATCTTCCAGAGCGTGGACGCGCCCCGCTCGGTCAACGAGGAGGGCATGGGCCGTTTCCTGTCTGGCATCACCGACGAGATGAAGCAAATGCGCCGCGAGCAGCTGCTCGACGTGACGAAGGAGCAGGTGCGCGCCGTGGCGCAGAAGTACCTCGTCGACGGCCTCAAGAAGGAGGAGGAGCGGGTGGCTTTCCTCGGCGAGAAGAGAGCTTGGGTTGACGGATCCTGGAAGGTCCAAGAGATGGACATTCAGGGGGCCGAGGAGCTCGACTAAAGAAAAGACGACGACTGGCGGCTTTCAGCCAGAGGGGGCCATTCGAGTCCCTCTGACGGCTTTGTACCATCTTGTACTCATTTACTGTACCATCATCATGGCCCCAAGAATAATACCCCTTCTCCGAGTGCTGGGACTCTTGGAGGCTCTCTCATCTGCTCTGTCCGTGAAATGACCAAACCTACGCGTTTCTATACGATACGTCTTCCTGCCCATTCTTCTCCATGGCAAAGAGACCACAGCAAAACGCAATAGCAACCCGCAAGGACGCCAGGGGGTAAGCGGCCTCTCCTGGCTCGCAAGTGCTGGGAGGTGCCACCGCAACCGGCGCGCTCGCCTTTTCAGACCTGAGGTCCGCAGTCTTGGACCATCAGACTAAGTGGCAGAGTACACAATTTGCGCCCCCAAGACACAAGTGAATCCTTTTCCGACGGGACAACGCGATGAATCCAGGAAGTGAGGCACGCACGCAAGAACACGTAGGCACCCCGGATTGCACGGTGAGACGGCAGTAAGACTGCGTTGACGAATGTCCCCACTAGGTACCGTAGATGGCTCCGTGAAAATCGAAAAACAAGAGTACCCAAATATGAAAAACGGACTGGCCGAACGGGACCAAGAAAGTAGAGGAAAACGAATGTGCCCCGCATACGTCACGACCCCGCCCCGCCAATTCGTAATTCATGGAAGCGGTGCGCAAGTGCAATGCAGCCTTTTGCACACGGGCGGATCCCCATTTTCTGCGCTCGTTTGCGGAGCATCCCGGGCCCAGCTGTCATGGAGAATTCTCGATGAGGGCCACGGTGCCCGATGGCCGGGGGACCGAGGAGGGTGCGAGCCTGAGAGTGTGTGGCCTCGAGCTGTGTGTGCGATGGGCAGCGCTCCCGCCCCCCTCCCTTCCTTCCCCCCCCCCCCCTTGGCAGTGCTCTGCATGTGCGAGAACCGGGAAAGACAGCCGGTCGGAGAGACCCACGACGGGCACGACCATGGAGGAGGCGGGGAGGGAGGAAGCCTCGAGCAGGCAGGACAGCAGGCAGGACAGCGCAGAGACAGGTCTGAGCAGCTCCCCAAAGGAGGGTGGACAGGCTGTTCCGGGGAGACGTCCGGATGGGTGGTTTGTCCTGTCTGACGGAGATGAGGGAATTTCTCTTCACGGTATTACATGGTGTTGAGGCGCAGAGAGACTGGCGGTCTGTCGACGAGGTTCGAGCTTCTGGAGCTCTTGCAGGTCGAGCGAAAGCTTCCCTGGTCAGATGCGGCAGGGCGGCCTCCTGGGCGGTTCCATCGTACTGTTTTGTCTATTGGTTGTGACCCGCTCGAGTTGCGGTCTGGAGGAGAGGAAGAGGGAGGGTGGCATTTCGGATGCACATGATAGGAGGCGCTGCTGCAGAGGCTGTCTCGCCGTATCCCGTCTGGGAGGGAGATCGAGGGCATCCTTGGCGGCTCCGCGAGCGGTCGATCACGATGTACAAAGCCCTCGACCTTGTGTCTCCTTGCCAGGTACCGTTTCGCGATGTATGGCCAGACGACATGTACCTACCTGTACTCGCCAGTGGAGCAACGATATGGCAACGGTCGAGAACCGTCTGGGTCCTGGTGGGCTGTAAGAGGGTTGGCACGCATCATGAAAAACAGATAATTGGGTACCGGCACACGACCGATCGACCCGAAGGGGCCTAGCAGGCGGGTAATGCTCCGTCATTGGAGGGGCTGAGACGTGGTACCTTGGGCGGACGCGAACTCTTTCCTGGCAGGCGCAACAGATACCAGGGGGAAGGGGCAGACGGGCTTGGGCAGGCACACCCCAGCGCCAGGCCTTGAAGAGTTTTAGCCCTGCCTGGCGTTACCACGACCGGCCGCGCTGACCTAAGAATTGCCTGATACCGAATAAAAACCTCCCGCCTCCTGCCACCCCACCACAACCTTGACCCAGCTGGCTCTTGTCCTCGACCAAAACACCTCGTTTTTGAGCTCAATACGCTTCCAACACCATCTCGCCTCATCAATCGCACCGCAGCTGTCTCAGCTTTCGAGGTGCTTCCCGCAAACAAAACCTTTTGGGTAAGTCCGAACGTTCTGCGTAACACACGAGGCGTGAATAGTCGGCACACGACGGCACGCCTGGCTGGAAAGGCTCGGCACGAAAGGACAGGTCTATTGGGTCACACAGCGAGCGGATGACTCTGAGAATCCCACCTTCGCCTCCCGGAAAGCCTCCCACAGTCTGCCTGTCACGTAGTGCCAGAGTCTTCCCCATGCGCGCCAGAGTCATCACCGGAGACCCTTTCTCTCTTCCACGACGGGCCACGCCACTTGAAGAGTACCGAGACTGACAAAAGTTTGGGTGTCCAGATCTTCGACAGTACGGAGATTTCTCCCCTTCCAGCCCCGACTCGCCTTTGGTCGTCTCAAAGGCAACAGGTGCACCACGGCTCCCGCGGCCGTCAGCTTCGTCAGTGATCAAGATTTCAGCGTTCGGAAGTCTTTCCACATCACCAACAACATCCCCCCTCCCGCCCCTGCGCACGCCTAAGCAAAAACTCGAATTCTTCCTGTTCGACGTTCTGTTTCAACAGACGCCTCCCGTCGACTCTACACCCGATCAGCTGCCGCATAGGACGCACTCGGAGCCTCTTCCTCTCGTCGAGGGAGAGTCGAGGAGAACTCGCCAGATCGCTGAGGGATCTGCCTGCTACCGCTTCCGGCCACCCTAGGACCCGCTTGACCGTCAGGCTTCAACACCACCAGACAAGTTAACCGCTCGTCCTTGACCCAACCAGTCAACTTCACGGATATGGTTATGGCAACTGTCGCTCTTGAGCAATATGCCCTTCCTACCATCAATTATGATCGTAGCTACCACACAATCCTGAAGGCGAAGCAGCAATACGCTGATCACGCCCCCGCCAACAATGCCGTGATCACGCCCAAGCAGCTCATCGGCGAGGCTCTCCGCCGCCGTGTCGAGAGCATCGACACGGAGTCCTGCGGAGCCGGCGAAGAGGACACCTTCTTCGTTGCCGACCTCGGCGAGGTTTACCGCCAGCACATGCGCTGGAAGCTCAACTTGCCTCGCGTCAAGCCCTTCTATGCCGTCAAGTGCAACCCCGACCCCCGCGTCATCGAGCTCCTGGCTGCCCTCGGCACCGGCTTTGACTGCGCCTCCAAGTGGGAGATCGACCAGATCCTGAACATGGGCCTCGCCCCCGAGCGCATCATTTACGCCCAGCCCTGCAAGACCAACTCGTACCTCCGCTACGTCAAGACTCAGGGTGTCAAGCAGATGACCTTTGACAATGCCGATGAGCTCTACAAGATTGCAAAGCTCTACCCTGGCGCCGAGCTCTTCCTCCGCATCATGACCGACGATGAGTCCAGCCTGTGCCGCTTCAGCATGAAGTTCGGTGCTTCCAAGGAGATCGCAGGAGAGCTCCTCGC